CAACTCAGGAGGCAACAATTCATCTTCATCTTCATCTGAATCTATCACACTCTCAGCTTCGAATGCCCTTAGCAACGCCTCTACATCATCATCTTGAGGCAGATCATCACATGGGTCCTGTGATCCAACCTGTACTGCCTCGGTAGAGATTGATCCTTCCGGACCATGGCTGCGCTGGGCCCGAAACCTTAACCCAGATGAGATTACCCTATCCAACTCCTCACAGGTGGGAGCTGTTGGCCTTCCTGCCAAGGCCTTGGCAAGTTCCCTGCGGAGGGAACCTGTCCACTCTCTACCCTTAGGCGGCCTAGCATCAGACCCCCTTGGAGTTAGGGTCGACAGGTACTCAAGATCCAAGTTAGTGGTCAAGGTGGTAGGCCGAAGGTACTCATCCCCTAAGGCCCCTTGGGTTAGTGGAAAATCCTTAACACCCGACCAATTGGCAAACGACGATCTAATCTCATCAGGAAGACCGACGTGCTCAGCAACATAGGGGATTCCAGAACCCCTGGCGACTGAGGCCAACGACCACAGCAACATGGGCTGGAGCTGCAGGCTCATTCCCGCAACATCCTTCGAATCTGGTGGAGACGACATCACTGCAGCGATCTTGCCCTGGGTGGCAGCCCATAGCATGACCTTCCAAACACCTGACTGACTCTTCAAGTCCCATCCCTTCCCTCCAGGCTGGGCCACATCAACCTCAAGCATTGCAAACCCCCGCTCATCACACCATTTCCGGATTGGATCGGAGTCCTTCCGGGGCCCTGAGCACAGGTGAACAACCCAATCTCCTGAAGCAAGTAGAAGCCTCCGCGCTGCTCTCTTCAAGGGTAGCAGCTTCAGCACAGACTTACCTGACTCCGGATGTACAAGAGGGACGGCTTCAGCCAAGTTCACTGCGATTGTTTCTGAAACCGAGGCCATGTAAGGCTGGGCGAGGAAGGCCCTCAAAGCATCACCCCGGGAACCAGAAGTACAGAATTGCCTCAACGCAGTTGTAGGGTCCGGTGGAACGTCCAACACCTCCAATTGACACTCAAGATTCTGGACCTGCCGCTTAAAACCCTCGAGGCGCTGCGACTCAAGCTCCGCGATGAGGCGAAGCGCTTGATCTTCTTGCACATATGGGCACGTATTAGCAGCAATTCCAGTAGAAAGCAATCCTAATGTAGGATGGTAGACACGGAGCCCCTTGCGTTTACTCCACTGAACCTGGCAGCCCAACGACTCAACAAGCGCTCCGAGGGGAAGTATTGTCTGCACGGGCTTAGTGGTAGCGGAGCCATGGTCGGGAGGCACGACTAGGGTGCCTCCCCGTGTCTTCCACCAATCCTGGCGGGCGTCTCCTGCCAGGGTCACCGGTACCTGCTCTAGGTTAGTAAGAGCCGGGTCATAAGCAATGACCGCATGTGTAGCGCCGCTATCTAGCAAAGCGCCCTTGCCGTGGCCACCTTCTCCCGTATCACCACACACCTTCACCTCAAGCTCCTCAGCTATACTACGGATAACCTTCAGTTGCTCGCTCAGCTGCCCCAAGGTAACACCGCAAGTCCCTGAGGTGGACCCCGAAGAGGCAACGACGCTCGATGGGCCGGCGCTCGCATTGCAAGTCCTTATCTCAGGATCTCTAGCCATGGACCTCAGCTGATCCAGCTGGGCGCTCAAGGAGGCAAGTGTCACCGGAGTTCCTTGCACTGCCGCTGTTGGTGCCTGAGAGGCCTTAGCAGGGGGAGATGGAATTGGTGTTGCCGGAACTGCAGGGGATGGCTCGGGTGTCTGGCTCGAGGCTCCAGGCAGGGTTTGCTGAAGGATCATAGCTGCATCCGCAAGCAAGCTCTTTATGTGCTGTTGCCCAGCATCCGGAGAAGTCATCGGCGGTGCCGGGGGAGGTGGTACATCAGGTGCTGACTTGGGTTGACTACCGGGCTTGTTGGGCCTTGCCTTAGACTTAAAGTCCTCATTCTTAGCTCCTGCACGGCAGTCGGCGGCCTTGTGGGACTTGCTTCCGCAGTTGCGGCACCTAAGGGCCTTTTCGGCAGCTGAGAAAGATCCCCATTGGTGATCGTAAGTGCAATCGGCACCCTTTTTGCAACCATTCGGCCCTGAGAAGAAAGTGCAGGGAGTCTTCGTGGGACTACCGGCTTCAGAAGGACCCTTCGGGCTCGGTGCACCTGTACCCTTAGGCGAACTCTTAGGGGGCTTAGGACCCTTAGGGGGGGGCGGCGTCGGCAGAGTAGCTTCTACCCCCTTGATCTTCGGAGCTGGAGGAGCAGTAGGAGTCTCTCTACTACCCTTATCCTTATCCTTGTCACCCCTGTGCGCCATAGCCTCTAATTCACCCAACAGCTGTGCATACAACTTCTGAACCTTCTCATTATCTGGCGTCAAGTCTACTTGCAAAGAAGCCCGCACTAAGTTCACCCTAAACGCAACCTCCGGGTGCTGTTGGAGCACCGCTCTGGTGATTTTCGATAGTGCTCGAACCTGCAGTGCACTGTCGGGCAATACACCGTTGAGTTCACTTATGCGAGTGCACCAGCGCTGCCACTTTCGCAACCCTTCGATTGTGTCCGCGATCGACGCTCCGGCTGGAGGGTCTGCTATGCTCTTGAGACCTAATTCGCGCTCTGTCAAGCTACCCGGCCCGTAGATTACGAATAATCTACATACGAGTGGGAGTAATCCCGAAGTACGGGAAGCATTCAACTCGTCCTTTATGGGCTGCGGAGCTGCAGAGGTAATCATGGTTTCTATTCGCCGCGAGACGCGACCCCATTTCACCTGGGTGAGTTCATCAGAGGCCCTTGGTTTTGCGGTTAGCCTAGTCAACGGATCCATCTTCAAGTACCCTGCATACCATGCCTGCGCTTCCTCAACAGTACGGGTCCACAAGTCTTCTGAAGTATCGCTGATATCAGCCAAGGCAGGCCGGGATGCATGCAACCAATCAGCGAAAGCTAAACAACTTTCGGGGCCGTGTATGGGGAGCTCAGGAAGGTTCACAACCCCGGGTTTAATCGCTTCAGGCTTCGTTGTTCCCTTAGGGCTTGCCATTTCCTGGACTACAGTTTGTAGCTGAGCCATCCCTGTAAGCACTACGCTTATCGGATCCGTAGCCCCGGCAGAGGGTCCTCCAAGGGAAGGCCCTGACGTTGGCGCGGGGCCAAGCGAAGGATCGACACCCTGAGCTTCTGGACCTTGCGGAGGCGGAAGGGGCTGATTAGCATTCGTCACTGTAGCATACGGATACCCAGTAGGGGAGGTTGAGGACTGCACGACTACCCTCGGGTTCTCATAGTAGGGTTCAGGCGGGGAATCTCTAGGGACCGGGCAGGCATTGGCGTTCAAGGAGTTGGCTTGTCCTAGTTCAACACCTAATCCAGGAACCCCAAGAGGGAAATTAGGGTCAGGCGGGTTAGGGCCTAAACCATAATGTCCGCCGCCCCCAGTCGGAGGCTCCAAGGCCTGGCTCGGCACACTCAAGTGCGCCATCTCGCGACTCAAAGGCGCCCTAGGAAGGGTCTGAGGCAGGTTCTGGCTTGCAGGCAGTTGTAAAGCACTAGGAGGTGGAGGAGGAGGCGGAGGGCTGGGTGCTGCTGGAGGGCCCGATTCCAAGGCACGCTCCGGGCGAACCTGGCCCATCAAAGATCCCAACCCTCTCCCAAACCACCCAAGTCCAGGGAAACCTGTAGTTGACCTAGAGGGATGCATCAAGTGCTGAGCTTCCAGCTCCGCACGAACCCTAAGGCTATGGTTTTCCATAGACAGTGCTTCCACCTGTGCACGTAGCCTACGGCTTTCTTCATCCCTAACGGCCATCAGCTCAGCTAACTGCCTCCTCACTTCAGCCTGTAATTCACTAGAGGTAGTCGACGGCGGACTTGGCTCCACAGGGCCAGGAGGGCCCGAGTACTCCTGCGAGGCTGCAGGATACAGCAGCGGAGCCCGGGCAGCCATCTGCTGCATTCTCATCAAAGTCTGTGCATCCAGTAACGGTGGCTCGCCCGCCTCCAGAGAAGTTGGCGGTATAGGCAACCGTTCCGGTGATGTACGAACAGAAGCATATTCCACACTGTCATGTTGGGCAGGAGTTCCTGGCGCAGAGCGGCCCGACGTGGACCTAGCCACCAAACTCTCCATCGCATTAGGCAGCGTTTGAACCGCCCGCAACATCCCAGTGATAACACCTTGTGCTTGAGGTCCAGGCACCACTGTAGGAGCAGGTCCTGGCGAACTCGTCTGGAGATCGCCAGAAACTGCCCCAAGAAAGGATGAGGTCATCCTCTGAGGTCGTGCTTCTCCTGGCATGCCTTCCGAAGAGCCTGGAGCCCCACTTCTTGGCCGGGAATCATTCCCATCGGCCGCAATAGGACCGGTCTCAGCTGAAGGTCGAGAAGCTTCTTGCCGGCCAGTCATGGTTTCATAGACTCCAGCCGCCAGAACTTCTCCATCCAGGTCTTGCTCCCCCCTCAACGGGGGCTGAACTCCGTTCATCACCGGCTGGGATCGCCCAGCCCTTGTAGCAGACATATCTGCAGTGGTAACGTTTGGGCTATTCATAACCTGTTGATCGCTTGGTAAGTCACTTGAATTTGGGTTCTGGTCGTTAGAGGCCATGGTGATCTTCTCAACGTCGTCCCCGATGGTCACAAACTCTCTGTGCTTTGCTGAATCGAAAGACGACCGCTCAACTCTCCATGGGCTCACACTAACGACTGTTTTTCAACGCCACTCAAAGACTGTCGAATGTGCTCCGTCCTCCGGACTAGGGCCTAAGCCTACATTCATAGACTGCATCGACGTGTCTGCTGGCTTCTGCCGATCATGGCGAAACTCAGTTTCGCTGGAGCCATCACGGCTTTACGAGGAGGTCGGCCACCTGGGCTTCAACACACCCCCTTAGCTGCAGCATCAGTCTCGGCCCAGCACTGACTGCAGCTACGCACGGTGCAGGTTGCTGGGGTTCTTGAAGCTCCGTGTTGCTTTGACCTTTGGAGGTGGTGAATGTCGCTCTCCCGGGCTTGGAGGAGTATGATGCTGCAAAGCTTTTCCTGCAGCGCATGCACAGGCCACCAAGGGCTGGGCTCGCAGGAGCAGTTTGGGATTGCTGGTGCCGGTTCAGGATGATATTGTCCGGAACGGCTGTATGACACAAATCAAGAGCTCAAGGGACTCTGCTTGCATGCCTCTGGCATGCAGGAGGACTCTTGCTAGCGAAACAGTTTGGATTGTCGACGTATGTCGTATGCGAGCTGGGGACTAAATTGACGATCTATTCAGTTGTCCCCTAAGCAGCCGTGCAGGAAGTTGGAAGCACGGGACTTCCCGGCAGATCCCATGGGGAGTGCAGATGCAGGCGGAGGAGAGTGGAACTCAGCAGGTTGGGATCGATAAGAAATCGAGACCCGTACACACATGAGATCTGAGGCCAAACTGTGCATGGTCACCACATGAGCATCTCAAGAGCGCCTTGACAATGTGTCAAAGACATGTGTTCAGACACAAGCAAAATTGCACCTCTCTTACGCTGCGTTCCGCACCTCTGCTAACCACCGTAGAAGTGACCAAGCTGAAGCGCTCGAATCGGGCTTAAGGCTCCTTCGCCATCGCCTCCCCGGGGAGTGCTGGCAACAAGCTCAGTTGCGAGAATTGCTGCCCGGCCCTGCCTCAAAAGGGGACATCTTCCACGGTCCCACTGCAAAAGAAGATACGGAGTGCATGTGCCCAGAGGTTTCCTGAGAAAACTGCTGAGGAAGCAGCAATCCAGAGGTTGAAAGGACATCCCCTTCTCCATCGCCACTCGCTCAGGCTTTTCAGCAGCTTCAGCATTTGCTACTTCATTCAGGATTCTGAGTCACGTAGGTCATGCAGTTGCGGATAGCTTTCGTGGGCTGCTGCTGCTGTGCTTGCATAAATTGTTCAGGCGCATGCCAGAGAAACCTCTGTATGAGCTGGCGTGGAGCGCTCCGCTCAGGTCTAGCAGGCCACCCTGGCAACATTCGTGAGGCCCCAGCCCCTTCTTGAGCGCAGATGCACTTTGCGTGAGCATTCGGGGCGTTGCAGCTGTGAAACCACAGGGTTCATGCAATACCTGCTGGGGCCAGAGTTCGGCAACGCAAGCATGACCGCGTTGGTGACAAGCGCTACCTCTGGCAAAGTGCATCGAGAAAGCAAGAGCGAGTGTGGAGAGGGGGCGTTCTGCCTCCTCACTATCCGCCATGACCGCCATGACTTCGATAAGCTGCCCATGCGCGCGCCAGCGCACGCGCTCCGAGGTTGCCTCCCGTGTTGTCCCTGGCGGGCCCAGCCTGATAGATTTGGCGCAGCTGGAGGTCGGGTGGCAGGGCAGCTGCTCAGGTGCAGGTCTCATGGGCAAGCCAGAGTTCCGTGGTGTTGAGATCATCGGGGACGCAGCTGTGTTCGGGGTGCTGCGGGGTGAGCCATTGAGCGCCATGTAGTTGCTATGACAAAGAAGTGCTCGCCGTAGCCTTTCCCGATACTCTGCTGAAGACATCGCACGACAAGTCTGAGAACGAGATTTGAATTGAATGAGATGTGCTGTCTGTCGCCAGGTTGAACCATAAAGCTGCGTATTGTCATGATGCATGAGAAAGGCTTAAGGCGCGGAGGGTTGTCATTTGCCAGGCCTTCGGTTTTCTTGCAAGGGCCATCGAGTTTCGGGCGTGCCCCTTGCAGCAAAGGCCAAGCTACTTCAGTCCCAGGTGATGAGCACAGCTCGGGATGAAAGGTTAGGAATTACGGCTGGCAAGCGCGTCTACACCTGACAAGGTGCTCAACGAGACGGCAGCCCAAATCCTTGCGTTTTCTCACCACTGTGCAAAAACTTGCATATTTCCAATTAGAAATCGCTATTTCGAATACCGGGCTTGCGGGCCACTCGACAAGCAAAATGAGCACTTAGTGCAGTTGAAGCTTTTCTGGTTGTGCAGGTAGGGGTTGCTGGTAGTTGTAGTGTCACAAGGCCAAAAAAAGAGACGGTTCCAAAGCTGCTGGAACATCAAATGCTTCAACTGCAGTAGTAGCTAGCTATTGTTCATATCTAGTCTTGCAGAGAAGCCGTGTTGGGATTGCGAAAGCTTATGAATTGAACTCGCTAGTGTTAGCTGTTTTGCGCACAGCATTTCTTGACTGCCCATTGTCACACTCTTAATCTTTACGTGCAGGTTCGAGATTGTTTGGGCACTGTGTGGAAGAAGGCTCGGCGGGAATGGACGTGGAACTGCAAAGTAGTGGGCCTACTTGTGACGGGGTGCCAGAGATTCTTTGCAAGAGGACAAGCAAGAACGTTGAGATGTTCAGAGTCCTGCTCATGGTCCTTTAAACCAAGAAGTGACACAAATATCTGTCGACTGCCTACAGAATGCTTGGACAAGGTGAAGCGTAGCAACGTTATGAAGAGCTGCTGGGCCGCAACGATCTGTGTTTCAGAATGTACGGCTTCGTGACTTGTGCAGCTTTGCAGCGAAAACATACACGCAGAGCGACGGCGCTGCCGTCGATAAGGTTACACTGACACTGCAACACCTGCCTTGACGACAGCAAGACCAACAGAAGAAACCAAGAGCAGTAACGTTCGAACGAAAAGGGATCGCCACAGCAAGGAAATAGAAGCTGTTTACTGTGCGACATGGAACCGGCAATGCTTGGAATGCAAGTTCTAGTTGGAGTGATGGTAGGGCAGCTGCACTGGCAGCATCTGGAGCAGGAGCAGCAGTAGCAGCAGCAGTAGTTGTGGTAGTAAGTCACCAGCAGCAGCAGCAGCAGCGGGCAGCAGTGAGCTCGTGCGACCGAGTTGCACAATAAAGGCAAGCAGACTAGGCTTCTGGAAGGGCGGCATCGTGGCAATCACTCGGATCATCTTCTTCTTCGCCGGCATCATCGCAATCATCCGGATCCTGCTCGTAATCATTGCCAGAACGATCACCATCAACAGTGATTAGCCGTGAGCTTTGCAGTAAGTTGCAGGTTGGGTCGTAACATGGTTGCTGGCATTGTGAGTAATGGATCTGTATGTCTCGCTGACATGCAGACAGCTAGGCAAATATATGATGACAGATGGACTCGACCTCAGACGGCTCGAATGTAACTTGGGACCACCATATGGCAGAGCCACAGGTAACACCACTATCACCATTCCGCTACAACGGCGACGAAGACACAGTAAACACGCTGTCAGTTTTTGTGGTTCTCTACAATCTGCACACGAAGAAATCGCCGCAAGCAGTAGCGGAACGAAGTGATAAGAGCAACAATCACACCAGAGTTGGACGGGTAAGGCTGCCAACTAACTAGCGAGCACTTCTGGCAAAGCCACAAGCCCACGCACGAACGAAACAAAAGGCCGAAAGCATCATTCCCAGGTGCTGTTGTACAGTGTGACGACCATCGTGGTCAGAGTGCACCAGACCGAGCAGTGAGTGGAGCTTCGAGCATTTCACTTCACTTCCAGCGGTCGCAGCGGAAGGTACTTGAAGTCCCATCGTAAACTGTGGCATTAATAAGAACCGATCATGCATCAGATGAGTCTAAGACTCACCAACAAGGTCTTGCAACATCTTTTTCAAAATTTGTGGACAGACAGATCTATATCGGCATGAGGATACAGGCTCGTCTTCTCTCGCGCGATCTCTCTCCCTCTCTCCCTCTCCCGCTCTCCCTCTCACCCCCCCACCTCCCTCCCTCCCTCCCTGGTCCTCCTCCCTTGGTCTGCATCTGCAAAGTCATCGACTGCAGCTCTTGCCCAAAAAAGGGTTCCGCAGGGAGAGTAGAGTTACACAGTCGATTTAAATGAAAGCTCGGAGCCGCTTTTCGATCTCTGACACTTCTCACCAGTCTGCCTGTACCAGTGGAGGTGCCATGTGGGATGAACCCTGTCTCCTTATTCCGTCAACCAAGACCTTAGCAGAATCCCGAACCAGAGTCCTTGCCACAAGCACGAAGGCCCACCAATTCGACCTCAAGGGTGCAGTCGAATTGGATTTCAGCTACATGCTTGCGTGTCCTTCACTGACGGTCATCATCGCCCAGCCTCGCGGTGCTCAGCGCATGCTTCCTTCCGTCGAAGCGTCAGGATGAAAGGGCTAGGAAGGCATACTCCATGTACTAGTAGAATGTAAATGTTGCACCCCCCGTGCATCCAGAACACCAGACCTTTAAATACAGATACATGCATTAGGGAAGTTCGGCCACCTTCAGAGAAAGTGGGCGCATGATGGAGTTCAACCCGCTAGTCCGCTAGTCCCGTTGTTTGCACACTGCATGCAAACTAGAAGCTGAAGGCATGGTCAAAGCCCGAGCAAAGGATGGATTTGAAAGCGAATGAAGGGCTGAATGCGGTTCGTTGACCACCTCTGACGCTTCGATTCATGTTTGGCCATTTTGTCAAGTGATGGCGTCTCAGTTCACCCTGTTTCCATGGCGTGGGCGTTGACCCGTGGTGCCATGTTTCGCAGGTGGTTTTAACCAAAGACGCCGCGATCACCTGATATTTGCAGGCTTCCCTGGAGCTAGGAGAGCTAGCTTGAGCACCCCGAGGACTCGAGACCGAAAGCAAAACCCCTCCAGCACCGTTGAGAGCCTTGGTGCTAGAGAGACGGTTGGAACCTCCTTGAGTCGAACTCGTAACTAGACATTGCCGAAACTGAAGTATTGTACCTTGCTCTCTTGGAGGCCTTGGACGTCGTAACACAAGCCTTTCCCGTCTCACTCTTTTGAAAGGTATTTGCATGTCCTCATGGCACGGTCCCGGCTCCTAGAAGCTCCAGAAGGCCTGGCCCAAACTGAACCCGACCTCCAACGTCAGGAAGTCTTCATAAGCAGATGCTACAAGGCAACTTTCGGAGCCGAAGGACGCCGCCTGCTTTGAAAAGGCATGCCAAGCAACGTTGAGGGTTCTGGAGGTAGGCGGTCCCGTTGAGACGTCACGTGAAGCTTGTGCTTGAAAGGCTCGATTGCTGTTGACGCTGCTTTGTGTCTCTGGGGAGACCTGTCTGGACCAGAATCTTCCGAAACACCCAGCTTAGGCCGCCCACAATTAGACAAGCTGATTGCCTGGACCGCATGGCGATGCCGAGAAATCCTTTGCAGGAGCCCGCTTCTTCATTTGGAAGGTACCCGCTACACAATCCGCACTCCATGGTACCGTTTTGCGTCCAGGGCTTTAAGGGAAACTGGGCTGAGGATTTCTCAAGACGTTGTTTGGACCCGGCAAAGCTGTGCGGAATGCTTCGGGCCGGCCTCCACCTGCGACCAAAGACTATATGTCTCGCAGAAAGGATGGTGGGGGCTTCACCGGCGCACGCGCGACTGCTTGCGACGGCGGGCTCTTAGGATGCAGGACTGACTCAAGAGTGGGGAGGTTGCGTACTAGCCGCCTCTCTCATGAAGACGTTTGATCAACCCTTCGTACAACACACAAGGTATTTCACTCTGCCCGTGCCTAGCAACCACCGATGAGCTGCACTCGTTTGCGCCGCTCCCCAGGGTTGAGCAGGCCCGGTTGTCGTTGGATTGCCCCACACACCAGCGGGTGGACCGGCAGAAAGTGCAAGATTTGCCTCAGTTCTGGCAGCAGACGACGACTGGTGGCTATGACGGCAGTTGCAACGAATGTCCAACAGCTACTACTACGCTCACCACAATCCAGCGAAGAGAAATGATTGCTGCTTGAGTAGGTAGACTGGATCCGACGTGTTTGCCTGGATGCGACCTTTCCCGAAGCACACCCTCCGGAAAGGTGCGGTGCGTGCAGGCGAGGGGCAACTGGTTGCTCCTGACAGCGACTGAGATGGGGTTCAAAGCTCTGTAGGTGCAGTGCCAGATCCCCCACAGCTCTCTGGAGCAACAGCTGCCACCACAGATAACCGAGGAACATGAGCGAAACTTAGTACCCTCAGGACAGGTTCTTCCACAAAACTGCGGAAGCTGCGGCTGCAGCATGAAAGATCTTCTCGCTCAACTAGGCAGTTTATGATGAGGATAGAAGCTGGTTTCAGTCGCAGCAGTAGCAGTGCCGTCGGTGATTCGGTCATGGCTTGGTCCGGGTGAAGGTCGCGACTTGCTCTGTTCATACATGTGGTCGCTATGGTAGACATTGAACCCAGCAGCCCGGCGGACCACCCGCGGCACTGCAAGGCGATCACGTAGGATCACTCTTTGGAGGCGTCTCCGCCGCGCCGGTCAGTAGAATGGTGTTGATGCCGGCAGAGTTAGGCACCTCCCCACTCCTGGATCGTGCTCAAGGAAGCACACTAAGCTACTGCAGCAAAGATGCCTCGTCCGCTTTGCAGCTGGTATGGCTGCTGCTTCGACAGCGTGAACTCAGCGAGAGTTCTGAGGCGATTTCGGCAGCTGCCCGCAACTGCCTCTCACGATGTCTCGTTCCTAACCGCTGGATCCCATTACGAAGTGTTGTGCCAGAAGGGGTTTCGGGTCGCGTCGTGATTTTCTCAAGATGATTCAAAGTCGATTCGGATGTATTCGGATTGCATTGGCCAGGTACGCCGAAATTTATGCATTTAGAAATGTATCCAAGTCTTCAGTATGCATTGGTTAACTTCGAGCT